ATAATTGAATAGTGAATTCATATGATTTAGTATCTATAAAATTGAATTAATATTTCCTTTTATGTTGTTGAATATAGAGATTCATCAAATAAAGAAAGATCAAAAATAAATTTTTTGCATTTAATCATTGATCAATTCAACAAATAAGAAAAATATATTTTGATAAAAGTAGCACAAATAATTCAAGTAATTTAAAAATTGAATTAGTCTTTGTTACTCTTATAGAATTATATCAAAAAATATTGAGAATGATTATTTTTTTTTTAGCAGAAGATTATTTTCTATAGTTGATATTTTAGTTTTTACAAGACAAAGGAGTTCTATAGTTCTAGATTAAAAGAATATGTTTGATTATGCCTATTATTTATGGAAAAACACTTCACTTCGATATACAATTTTCAGAAGGTCCGAAGGAACTCATTTTCTTTTCTTTTCTTTTCTTTTTAAAATAGAATTAAAAATATTCAAATAATAATAATAGAAATTCAATGACATCTAACAAAGATTCATCAACTGTATTAAGTATAGTAAATACAATTAAAGATAAATGAGTAAAATATAGTCAATTCGATATTTTCTCAAATAATCGATCCATGGTGAAATTATTTGGATAAATACTTTTATCCTATAACAAACATTAAGTTTTATTAAATTCTTTTTAAAAAAAAACTAATCGCTTTGTACATTTACTTTCAACTAAATTCATCTGTATGAAATCCGTTTTAAGTCTTATTTCTATACAAGATTTATCAAAACTTTTATAATGAAACATTTAATTATCTTAAATTAATATTCAATGTTCAGACAAAAAAAAAACAATTGAATATAAAAAAGAGTCTATTATCTTTTTGAATAGTTAGTATTTATTGTAAAGAAGATTTTGAATTATTAATCTTTTTATTCATTAGTTGAACTAAAATCTTTCGAATATTCTATTAGATTTGAAACATGACTACGGACAAAACTTCACATGGAAATATTATAAATAAAGTTTATTCATCGGTTTAACTTATATAAAGATATTTTAAATATAGGAATATAATAGCACGAGAATAAATAATTTAGCGAAAGTAGTTTATTATCAATGTGTCACAACTTCGGTGTGGGTGTGAGTGTGGATGTAAGTGAACAAAAAACAAAGACCCCCACCCCATGCACTGTAAAAAAAAAGATACTTGACCGAATCCTCCTAAAAGGTTTCGTAGGTGTCTAAAAGCTTCCAAATGCATCCAAAGGCTTAAAAAAAATGGTTGTTAAAATCTACAAAACCTTAAAAGGATCTGAGCGCGGGTACACCCTCCAAACCATCTCCTACGAAACCTTTTAAAGTTCCGTGTAGTGAAAAAAGGTTTCGTATTTTTTACGAAACCTTTTGGGAGGGTTCGGTAAAGTACCTTTTTTTTTTACAGTACACCCCACACCCTCATGTCACAGTTCATATGATATTGAAATGCCATAAGTTGTTAATTTTCTTTTTTTTAATGATTTCATATGTTTGCGCCTCTTGATTCGATATCTGAAGAGACATGATTAATATACAAATAATAATTTAGTAAAATTCGTTTTCATTCATTCCTAATATATCCTTCAGGCATCCATTTATTATCTAGATAATAGAAATATTATCAAAGATAGGATTACAATATGCTTTAGTATTAAATAATTTAAAATGAAGTACTACTAAATATTTTTCTTTTCCACTTGTAGATTTGTCTCGTATCTGTTTTTCGTAGATTACTCTACGAATCTGAAGTTTTTAATCCTAGAATAAATATATTTTTTATATGAACATTAGTTGTTAGAAAATATTTTCAATAAATTATTTTAGATGAAATGATTTCATAAATATATATATTATTGAAACAGATGAAATTTATCTTTTAGTAATTTCTAATACGATATTAGGTTAGGTTACTTATTTCTTTTCAAGATAGTATTAAAATTGTCACCATTACCTCTATACAATTATAATGTAGTAATTATAACTGCTTCAAAAAAATAGTAAACTTTCGTTTCATTTTCCAATTATAGGCTTGTGTTGCATCCGTCTGGTGTAGACTGTTCTGCAAACCTATGGTTCACCAGTTCTAGAATATATATGATTTTATATGAACACTGGGTATTAGAAAAAAATATTTTCAATATAATATATATTTTTTATAGTAAATGAAATTCGAAAAAAATGAGATTATTTAAGAAATATTTTCAAGTAATTTTATTCTACAAACTGAAACTTCTCGAACTGTCTTAATCAGAGGAATGAAACATCTTGTTTATACATGTGATGTGTCTTGATTTTTTAGAGTGAAACTGTCACCAAGAACGTCATGTCCAAAATATTATTTTACTATTCCTCTGTATTGGTGTTTCATAAAACCTAAGTTATCTATTGCAGACTTCATCGTCCAATAGAATAATTACTTTGTTCCGGCCAGATGATCCGGTTCGGCTATCTTCACACTAGTAATCTTACACCCTCTAGAATTAGAGGTTCGATGGAAAATTTTGATTGGTTTCGAAGTTGATGATGATAAATTTTTTATCACTTATGCATCATTTGTTGTTATAACTTGTTGTCGTGTTTTAATTTGATTGTCATGACTTTCAGTACATTTTCCTGAACTATCTGCTCGTTTTTTTTGGAGGCATTCCGTAACCATACCAGAAACAACTGTATAAAACTTGTTTCTATGATGTATAAAGTTAAGGGTTAAAAATATACGAGAAAAAAGTATGTGAAAAAGATAAGAAGGAATGTGTGTATACTCGGAGCAGTGCGAAAAGTCTAATGTGATAATAAAGTAATACACACCACCTGAGAAGAGCGAATACTCCAGAAGGTATACTGCTTGCACGTTTAAAAACAATTATGCTCAAGAGCTATTTCTTTTCTTTTAGATATAGTCGTTCATATCAATCAACAAAAAGTTGATCAAGAACTATGGACCAGTTACTCTCATCGTCAATATCTAATGAGGTTCAAGTTTCTAATGAGAAATACATTTCACTTTCTGATGGTCGTCAATTAGCGTATACCGAACAAGGTGATATTGATAGTAATAAAATTTTTATCTTTTTTCACGGAACATTTGGTATTGGTGATTCCTTCGATGAGACGAATTTTTACAAAGAAATTGGATATCATTTTATTACGCCTACACTTCCTGGCTGGGGCAATAGTTCTCCGTGGCCGGAAAATCAACCGATTTCAAATTATCCTAATGATATTCATCAATTATTATCATCGTTGAAGAAGAATAATAATGAAAATCTTAGAATTACTGTTGGCGGTGGTAGTTATGGATCTGTTTTTGCTCAAATATGTTTTGGCACATCAACCGATACAATGCCTGAGATTACCAATGTTCAATCGTTAATTATCTTATCTGGCTTTTCCCCATTCAAATATCATAAAGAATATACTACGGGAATGAGTTGGTTAAATTATTTTACAGTCGGTATGCCAGCTATTTATTTTCCTTCTATTACAAAATTAATGGGAGCATACATTCAAAAGAAAACCCGTAATATTGAAGAAGCCAAGGGATTTTTGCGAAAACAATTGTTTGATCAAATGGACGACGAGGAAAAGGCTAGCCTACGTAAATGGGAAGAAGAGAAAAATAAGCCGTCAGGCTGGCTTATTCAAAGGATGTCAAGAAATATGTGTTTAAGTATTTCTAAAACAATGGCTGGTTTCAATGATATTCCGCGTGTTTTACATTCCGACTGGGGTTTTGATCCAAAGAACCTTCCATCATCACCAAAACGAAAAGTATTGATTATAACTACACATGGAGATAAAATGGCTCATATGGAAATGTCAACGTATTTAGTTGAAAGCTATCCTAATGCAGAAATTCAAATATTTAATGGAGGTCATTTAGGTGCACTTTTTGAATTCGATACAATTGTGAAAAATTGGTTGACAAATCTTGACAAAGAATATAATGAAAGAACACAAACGGATGGAAAAGCTTTATGTTCTTAATTGAAATGTAACCGTTGATTGTCTGTTTGCTGAAGCCTTTTAATGTAAACTATTTTTTCCGATTGTTTTTCTCAAGTCACATTTCAAAAATTATTTTTGTTTTTACATTTCTTGTCTATTTTGTCATGTTTGTTTAGTTAATTCTACAATGTCTTTTAATGCCTTGTTTCAGTAAGTTTTGTTCTTTTCCAAAGTTCTTTTTTAAAATATTGCTACTTGCATCTATTACTTTGATTATATGCAAGCTTTTATGCGATAATAATCTAAGAATTTTGACTATAAATGATACCAAGAGGACTAATGTTATCTTTTTACCATCAGAAACTCAATAGTACGTGATAAAGGATGGTGGCCAATTTCTGATGAAATCGAGGCCTTCTTAAACCTTAATATTTTCCCATCATAATATGTGAATTTCATGTGAGAAAAAGAATTAGACCATAAAACCACTTATCAACCAAATTTTCATATAATTCAACTGAAAAAATTCAATAAATTTTTTCTCTACTTCAGCAAGTGATTCTTGCCACGAGCTCTAACAAATTATCTCCTAGTAAGATTCTCTGATATTTGCTGGGAAGTTTTTACACTCGAGTTCTTGGAAACAGTTCCGGATACTGAAAAACCCTGTTTGTTCCGTCCTGCAGGACAATTGGGCCTGTTCCGAAAAATTTTCTGGACGGGACAAATGGGATTCGGGACAACGTAGAAAAAAAAATCACTGTTCCAAATTGTTTTAATCTTTACATCAAAACGTCTTGTACACTTTAAATTTTTTGTTTCTAACAAATATCTTAATATTTTATGTCACTCTTGTTTCTTTTTCTTTGTTCTTTTCCTCTTTTTTTTCTTAATTCACTTTTTGGGTGGTGTTGTGCTTTAAGCGGCGGGTGTGGGCGAGGATCAAAACATTTTTCACAAATAGTATGATATGCTCAAACATAAACAAAAAAAGATTTTTTGATTAGAGATCTTCGTCGACATAATTAGGTTAAAGCCAAATACGTAGCTAGTCGTATCTATGAAATTTAATTTTAATATTATTACAATCAAATAATTGATCATATCCAACTGCTAATAGTCTTTCTTTGAACATTTTCTTTTTTTCATGTTTTACTTGATAAAGACAATCTTTGTTCACTATTAAATAAACTAACTGATCAAGTCGATGAATAATTTTCCAAATAAATTGAACAAGATTTTCATTTAACTTAATAGTTGTATAACTGATTTCAAGAGAATGTAGATTAGATACTAATTGAGCTAATCGATCAATATCGAAATATTCTGTAGGTTCAGGACATAATGGTTCTAATATGAGATTGACATGGCGAAGATTTAAGTAGCTATGTGAACAATCTCGAAAATCCTTCCATGTCATTACAAGATGTGAAAGATTTGGTGATGCATCGAGTATTTGTTTGATATAGTCACACGTTGTGACTTTGTTATTGACTCTGATAGCAAATTAAAAGTCAAAGATCGTAGATGACGAAATAACAAACCACAAATAGAAGAATAACGTGGTGTCACCGATCTATTTAACTAAAAGAGATACACATCGGTTCAATAGAAAGAATATATTTATACGTATTCAATACTTCTCCATCTAAAACTTCTAATAAAATCAAATTTTCATTGAGATATATGGCAAGGGCAAGTGAATAGTATCATTGGTACGCTCAATTTGTCAAAGAGGACTAAACAATATTCTTTATCTCAATTTATTTTTCCTCGATTAAGTGTTGAATCTGATACTGTCATAATTCCTCAGCGTTTAGAAAATAAGAAAATACGTAAAAACCTTCATCGGTGTTGGTTTATCATTCTTATGAACTTCTTCGTGCTATACGATCTCACTTACATATACATCAATCAATAATACTCTGCAAGTATGCATAAATTACAGACTTCATGTATCCTATATTAAATAATTATTGAACTAGTAACTAAATTAACATTTAGTGATATTAAAAGACGAGACGCATTTGTTCTAAATCGATAACTTGTTATTCTATCTCAAGTTTTCTTTTGAAGAATACATGTGAATTTTCACTTTGAATGTTGTTTTTAGAAAGCTTTATATAATTCTATGGACTTAACAAGCAAATATTTGTTATTGGTTCAATGCTTGCCAAATAATTTTGTTCAATATCAGAAACATTCATAATCGTAAATGTTCTATGAATGATTAACCCTTAACTTGAAATTGAAATCTTTGGCGAATAGTAATATATTCAAAGGGTTTTAATTTGATTCATTTTATCTCTTAACATTACTTATTTTTCCCATTTAATAATTTGAGGTGCTTACTGATTCATTGACACGACCGCTTGCAAATATTTGTAGAGTTTTCACCAAATGATCAGGCTCATACTTGACATCGCCAGTCCATTGAATTAATCATCGTCGAGTTACTATGATCGGAATAGATGTATGTGCTGCGAAACAATGATTGTGGAAAGTTCGCTTGTAGCGAAAGTGTAAGCTCATCGGACGCTTATAGAAAAAAAAGCAGGGCCTTTGTCGAGAAAACTGCTCTATCTTGTTCAAAGTTCGAATCGCATCTATGTAGTAAGCAAGATTCTCAAAAGCCCATTGACCATTGCAAACAAAGGAACTGATTCACCATGAATCTTCGATTTCTTTAGGAAAACAAAACGAGAAATGGAGATGTTTCAGAGTAGGTAAATATGTTGAACCACAAATTTCTTGAAATTTACCAACATGATCTAATGCTACAAGCAAAACAGATAGAATTAACAATAAAATGAATATTTTCATATGATTTCTATATTCAAAAAAGCAAATAAATTCGTCTTTATTTTGATATGACGAATCAGAAAAGCAATAGCAATGTATACAACTACTGAAATTATCAATGAAATGTTTTTACAAATATCTCAGAACAACTTTTCATGTCAAAAGTTGATTAGATCATTTGGTCTAGGACAGCAGAAGAAACTGAATAGTTTCCGTTAATATAATACACAAATAATTGATAAACACATATTAAATGTTAACTTACTATGATCATACAAATCAATCAATATCATGTATTTGCAAGTAAAGGCATAGTTAACGGGCCAAGTAATATGACAACATCACTGAGATTTAAATAACGTAGCAGCAAATATCGTAGTCGAGTACCATTGAGTCTTTCATGTAGATCATGTTTACAAAGTTGGATACACGATGTTGATTTATCTTCATTTATTGGTAAAAAAATATGTAGTTCTTCATTAGTAGCACTCAAATATTCAATTGCAGGCCGAACATTTCGTTGTAAAAGAAGAATAAGTTCGTTTGAACGTTGAATACTTAATGTTAATTGAACTGTATTTGGCCAACATGGTGAATAATAGTATTAAAGCAACAGAAGAAATTATTTCATTTAAATTGTATGTTCGAATTTAGAAAATATAGACTTATCTCTTTATATGACAAACAAAATTAATCATCAAAGATGCAAAGATGATTGACTTTACTACAACTCAATGATATCCTATCGCTTTATAATTGAATTTAAAAGAAATAGCTCTTAGTTTAAAATAATATCATTAGAAAAATTCCTTTCAGTCTATATTTTAATCTGAAATGACTTTAAATATAATAGAAAATATTAATGACAAAAAAGTTTTCAAAGATCTTTTTCTTGTGTGGCTAACTAATGCCTTCTATATTTAATTAATTACTAAAATAGGATACAATGCATGACACAAGACAACTAATTTTCATCAAACTACAAATAAATACAAATGCATGACTAGATCAAATAACTTTTGAACATAGGACGGATTCAATTCTATAAAACCAAGATTATAGAAAGTAATAGGAATCTAACTACTGAAATTGCAAGATACTAACTTAATTTAAAAGCAATTCATTTCATGATTCGATTTCGTTCTTAGTTATGAACAAAATTTCGGATTAACATTCCTAAAATTTAAATAAAGTCACTATTCAAGGTAAGACATAGTACTTTAATAAGCAGCATTAGTGAAAATGATTACAGCTGATGTATAAATTCATTACTTATTGCAAACAAGATAGATATTAATTTCATTTAGTGCCAGTTACTAAAGATATTATTAATGCGGTATGAAGCATGAATCTATCGAAAATTCAAAAGATTCGCGCTTCGCACCACATTTTGTATTCGAATCAAAACTCGAATATCATCTAGTTTACATAGATTTCAATTATAGACGTTCTTCAATCTCAAACATGCTCATAAATGAACATAATTCAAGTCCCAAGATTATTTGAAATTTATAAAAATAACACTAGCATTCTAGATTATTGAAACTATTTCAGAATATTTTAAAAAATCACTTTATAGTAGTAGTATTACTAGAAGAGATAGTTAGTTCATTCGATTTCTTATTCAAGAATATGTTTAATAAAATACTTTGTTCAACTTCAAATATCATAGTATGAACTGAAATATTATGACAAATAAAATCAGAGAGTACTGCTGAGTATGCGTCCGTAGGTCGTTCAAAAACGAGATGCAAATATCGTTATGTATTGAGTGTATAAACCCAAGGAATTAATATTGGATAAATAAAACCATATTCATATTACTCTGCGTTCAATATAATAATCTTTTTTATTGATGGTAAGAATATGTTCAATTGTTCAGGATCATTTTAAGTTTTCGCTCAATGATCACGTAATATCATGCATGCAGATGAATCACGAAGTATAAACGTATCTATCAATGCAGTAAAATGATTTATATAATCATTGTTACTGTTTAGAAATTCTCGTAACAGGTTATAATGCATTAAACTAACATCTAATCAGTGACGAATAGAAGTAAGAAGATGTTTTATACGACTAATTTTCAAATGAAAAAACGATTGATAAAGAAAATGTATCATATACAAACATACTTCTTTTGATATAAGCTACCCCGATATAGATATATACGCGAACGTTTATTGTATGCATTAATGCCCGAAGGATCCATTCATTTGTTTATTCGACGAACAATGCTGCAAAAAATTCGAATGATTAAAATTTTTGAAGAAAAACTCCGTCTTTAAATATAAATATTTATTTTTCAAGTGAAGACGAATACCTATCAAATATTATTTTGTTTTATTTTTTTTTTACATCAAATAAAAGACAATCAAACTAAAGTTTAGCTATCTTGCGATAAGCGTATAAAATTAAATTTAAAAAAATATTTTCTATTTATTGTTCGAAGTTAAGCATAAGAGAGATTATTTACAGATTAAATCTACCTAAAGTCACATGATTTCACCTTGAAATTTCTTATTTCTAACTGCGTCTATATTTATTGTTTTCAGGTCATTATTGGTGTAGAGTTTCTCGTATATATTGTTGTTACTAAGAGCGGTTTTTTCTCTCTGATCTACCTATCTCTTAGTTTTTCTGTTTCCTCGCTCGCATTTTAAAAAGGCAAAATTAACCAAGAAGAAACGTGAAAGTTCCAATCATTCATATGAAAATGTACTTACAGAATTGATTATTCTCTTTGAAAATATTTCTCAATAGTTATTTGAAAAATGTTTCTTTGATAAAGATTCAGTTTATACTCTGTTTTTCATCGTAGATATGTAATTCAGATAACCACTACTGTTTACCTAAAGAAACAAATATCTCGGCATCATCTTCAAACATCAAATCATATTCATTTGTCGGTCTCTTTGCTTTCATATTGATTGCCTCTCTATTAAATTGTTCTATGCTTCAATGGCAATTTTCAAATGTGACAGATGTTGATATTTAAGGCATCCATGGAGTTGCTTCTGATGAATTCTGTAGAGTTAACCAATTGCTGGATAATAAAATGATGAAATAAAAAGAAATGAAACGATTCTATGAAGAAGATGATGATTTAAGTGAATGATCTTTATTAAGATTCTTTCATGAATAAATTCTTTGAGAAAAAATCAATTCTTTCTAAATAAATCCATTGATTTATATATGTTTGTATCATATCCCCAATGTGGTGCAGCTGTATGCTTATCTGATCCAATCAAACGATGGAAATTCGAACATAAACCTTTGAAACTTGTTAAAGATGAACTTTATTTAAAATCAGGAAAAGGTTTTCAAACAACATGTTTTTCATCTAGAAATAATATCAAACAATGAATTTATAAAGAAATTGAAAAAACACTTTTCAATCAATTGATTATTTCGTCTATACATTTATCTATTTTGATTATTCATACAAATACTGATTTGTCATCTGTATTCAAAAATATTTCTATTCAATCTGTTAAATAATCATTTTCATTTGGATCATCATCAGAACACGAATTCGTCCATGTGCAATGTCTGTAACTCGGTGGAAAGATCTTAATCTTTCATTTCTTATCGTAGGATTTGCTAGAGGTCTATTAG